CTTATATTTATCTTGAAACTAAAGCGCATAATAATCTTTTGCACTTAATATATTTTGGGTGGAATTGTATAGAGAAGATTCATGTTACTGATAATTTAAATTCTTTGTTTTAATCTGTTTGTATTTAATGAAATTGTTATTACACTGTGTACTATTTTATATCGTTTTTATTGTTTATCTTGACTGTTTCAATGTTTGGAACTTATTTTAATATTATTATTGACATGTTCTATATCCAGGGTTGTATTTCAACCTATGTTTTGGATTTACTGAATTTGAAATAAATGAATNTCAATAAATTTAAACGTGGGCTTCCTTGGTGGCACAACAAATATCCAGGCTTGAAGCATTTCTGGTGTTACTGTAACCACAGTATCCCTTATGCGGGCTTTCAGGTGTTGAAGGTTGTTGATCTTAACCTGATAGAGAATGTTCTTCACATAACCCCACAAGAAAAAAAACACTGGGGTTAAATCTGACGACCTAGGAGGCCAAGCGATTGGTCCACTTCCACCAATTCATATCCCAGCCATCTCTCTGTCCAGGTGATTCCCAACATGGTGGCAAAAATGTAGTGGTGTATGCGCACAAGCCAGGTATAAAAAAAAATTCAGAGTTTTTCTTTCCGATGACATAAACCGGACACGTGTAAGACTATTAGTTTCCGAGATATAAATTTTTTATTTTGGATACCTTTCATCCAGACACCCTATATTATACACACAACAGGATGCACTCTATAAAGTTTTAATAAGTTTGTTGGCATGCATAAATTATACTCCATATGTGTACCAGCCACAAAAAAAAGCACTCATTATGTGGATGCACATGTTTGTGTTTGCGTGCATGCGCATCACCTCAAGCTTCATACAATGAAACGGTGAAACACATTTGTTCAGAAAGAAAATTTTTAGATACGTCATTTTCAAGTTTGGGGTCCATCGGACAGTTGTTTCTAATTATTTTCAATGTTCATGGGTTTGAGGTCTGGAAATTTCAGAGTCACAAGAAAATATAAAGCTTTATTAAAGAGATATTTCTATTATGGATTTTGTAGCACAGAATTATTATATGATACTGGAATTGGAATTGCTGGATGGATAAAAGAGTGAACTGAGCTTATTTTACTTAGTGCATAAAAATATATCCAAAACTGTATTTAAAAAACATTTGGTTGCTGGACTTTAAGTCATAGATGACAATTACCAATGGATGCCGCCTAAGTAAAGTAGTAGCCATGCCACAAATCAGATGGTTAGTTGCTGACTTCTCATCACAGAAGCCTGAGTTTAATTCCAGAGAAGTCCATGTGTGATTTCTGGTGAGCAAAGTGGCACAGGGGTAGGATATTTTCTAAGCAATTATATTTTCCCCTGCATATTATCAATTCATAAATGTCTCATATTCATCAATCATCAGGATTAAATACAACAGGCTAATCTGAGTGCCAAAAGATCCAGTTTCACCCAAATTCTAGAATTAACTATGTCTAGAGATAATAATACACTATCCTTGGAAACTTATAAGCCTACTGGCAACTGTACAGATTGAGATAATAATACTGTAATACATATTTGCTATATACTGTAAGGGTGATGAAAATGAACTGATGAATCTGAGAACAAAAGAGTAGGCATGTGTGAAAGTGGAAATTATAACCTACCTGTGGAGCACATTGCAGAGCTCAATTCCAAGGGACCGGTCATCCATGAGGATTTCTCTAGGCCAAGTAGAATCTAGCAGTGTATATAAGGCTTGTAGACATGTTAAAACACTTTCAACTGGCTCTGAAGATCTTGGAGTGCAGAGTGCTTCCATACATATTCCTGTGCAAGGGACCAGTTAACAAAACTAGCTCAGCACATTACATACTGGAATGACTCATTAGTCAGTAATGGAAGTTTTGCAAGCATGGTACAGAGTCATTATTGCACAGTTGATAGTTAATCGGCCGATTAAGAAATTTCATGTAAGATTTGAGGCTTTCACGGCGGTGACTATGAAGAAAGCAGTCTTCTGGGATTTGGCACCGTGTATATGTGGTGTTAACCGACGTTTCGGAGGAACGTATCGCCCCCATCTTCAGGGTTGAAGAAAAAGTTTAAGAAATCTGCAAGTGACAACATTGCAGATTTCTTAAACTTTTTCTTCAACCCTGAAGATGGGGGCGATACGATCCTCCGAAACGTCGCTTAACACCACATATACACGGTGCCAAATCGCAGAAGACTGCTTTCTTCAAGAAATTTCATGCTTTTAAGAGACTTAGAAGTTCATCATTATGTTAACAGGAGCCCTCCAATGGAACACCCCTGAGCCAAATGGCTACAGTGCTCACCTTCACAATCAATTTCTCAGATAGTATAAAAGATAGTCAACTCCATCCAGTGTGAGTGATATTTCCTTTTTCTTTTTAATCTTTCATCCTTGACATGTTTCGGCCTGAGAGACCATCTGCAGAAAGATATATCAATACAAACATGTCAAGGATGAAAGATTAAAATTGGGAGGGGGGGGGGAAAACATTTATCAATCACACTGGGTGGAGTTGACTAGCTTTTATACTATTGCTAGTGTAACGGACCAGGATGAACCAAATCAAATCTATTTCTCAGACATTCATTTTTAATATCATCCTTCAAATATTGTTAAAATGATCAGAGGATGATGGATGAGATTTTGTAGGTACTGGAGATGAAAGAAGCTTGTAAAGAATAATATTAATTTAAAAAATTGAAGGGAAGAGACCAATTGGGAGATCTAAGCATAGATGGCAGATAATATTAAAATAGATCTTAGGGAGGTGGGAGTTTTCTAGCTCCAGATAGAATCCAATGGTGGGCTCCTGTAAATATGAATGAACCTTTGGGATCCATAAAAGGTAAGGCATATCTTGACCAGTTGAGCCACTACTTGTTTCTAAAGGAGAATTCAGCTCCATGGAGTTAGTCAATTCAGAGTATAAATACCCAGCCAATATGCAGAATACGAGTCATAAATGACCACCCAGTCTCTACTGAGGCCACTGCCTGATTTATGTAACTAATAGTTCACTGGTGACCGCTCCTGTATTCTTGGCTATGGATCTAGAGGCCTCAGTTTGATTCCCAGCGCTACCAGATTTTCTGGGGAGTAGTGAGTCTGGAATGGAGTCCACTGAGCCTTGTGAGGATAACTGAGGAGCTACTTCAAGGAAATATCGGCTCTGGTCTAGAAAACTGAGATTAATGACCATGTGGATGTTGTGCTGACCACATGACACCCTCTATCTGCTAAAGGTGGCATTAACTTTGCTGACAAGCGGCGGTCACTCTGTCGGAATAGTTTGCTTGTGGACTTCAGGTCATGGAGTTTAACAGTTCCCTGGTAATAGTGCGCAACAGAATTATGTCTACAGTTACCACTCACCAAACAAGAGATGGAATCTGTCAGAAACAGAGTCTCCAGTTTTACTGCTATTATTATTGTTTGGCACATTGGCAGCACTGGTTGGTTTACTGTCAAATCCACCAGCATTCAGCCAGAGGGCAGCAGCATGCAGGATGGGAGGCCATGAGGCTGCATAATGTGGCCTGGAAGACTCCATAGTATCTGTTGTGTAGAATGCTCCTCCATCATGAGGCAGCTGACTAGCAAACTCTAAAAATTAAAACAGCTTGATGTCTTAAACAGAGATGGCAAATTCTGATATAACTCTGTACAGTGGAACACCTGTTTAATGCTCCTCGATTTAAGATTTACCCTCATTTAACATTAAACCTCAATGATTCAAATTCAATAATCTCAGTAATAAAGCATCTCTTTTAAAGATTTTCATTAGTTTAGTGTTCAAACCCACTGATCCCAAAAAGAACATTAAATGGAGGTTTCACTATATTTCATTGAAATTTCTGATCACATTACCATATTTATGTATAGTTTTTACTGGATATAAATTAACCTTAATTTGACTCCAAAAAATCAAAGGTTAGAATGAAAATGATACATAATAATCCTTGGTTGCTCTGTGGGAAGGGCCCTGCTATATTGATGGCCATCCTTCTGAAAGGGATCCTGATGTGGTACTGACACATTTGGTCCTGATTCTTGGTATGGGGGCCAAGAGTGGCTGCACAGGTGTTGCACTGCCGGTACCACTTCTCAACATCATTTCTTGCCTGGAGCCAATAGTACATTTGCCAGACCTTATCCAGGGTCTTGCTGACACCCAAGTGACCTCCTGATGGTCCACCATGTAGTTTAGTCAGCACATCGTTCACTCTGCTCTGAGGGAGAACTATCTGGGCTATTTTTGATGATTCAATGGCAGATTCCCAGTGGCACACTAGTATGCTGTTCTTCACAGTGAGGGATTTCCATTGGGCCCACTAGCTTTTGTACATGGGGCTTGGGTCAGTGATATCTTTCCATTCTGGGTGTTGTCCGGTTTCTATTTCTACCAGAAAGGGTCCTATGTCCTGGTTTTTCAGTTGTTTTCTTCTCAGAGCAGCTGGATCCCAGCTGGCTGCAACTACAGCTGCAACAGCTTGATGTCTGTCCATGCCTCGACTGTGTGGCAGTGGGTACACTTGGTATGGTTGTCGCAAAAGGGCATTGGCATTGTTATGTTTTTGGCCTTAACGGTGCTTGGAAGTGAAGGTGTACTCTTGTTGGTGCTGAATCCAGCAAGTGGTTTGTCCCTTGAGGTTCTTAACACTCATGAGCTACGTTAATGCAGAGTGGTCAGTGCATAGATGGAACTTTGTCTGTAGAGGTACTTATGGAAATGTTCCAGTGCCCTCACAATGGTCAGACGTTCCTGTCAGGCGATGCAGTAATTTCTCTCAACCTTAATTCAGTGTCTTACCATAGTAGGCTATTACTTGCTCCTGTCCATCCTGCACTTGGGAGAGTGCTCCACCAATCCTGACATTACTCGTGTCTGTATCAACGATGAACCTTTCTCTTTGCTCTGAGTATGCAAAATAGGGGCAATACAGTGTTTGAAAGACAGGTTCCACTTCTGGGGTCCACTGGAAGGCTTGCTTCTCCTCCATGAGTTTGGTCAGCAGTTCCACGATGTTGGCGAAACAGGAAATAAACTGTCTGTAATACGTGCATAGACCCAGTAAGCTTTTAATTTCATTTCTGTTACTCAGTATTGGGTGTTGTATTTTTGCTTACCTTGCAGGTGTTACCCAGAAATGGGTCTACCTATCACAATATTTAATTTTACAAAACTTCAAAAGCTCATGTTCAGTGTCTAGGAATGACAGTAGTATATGTAAATCTGAGGGAGAGTCAGTAAGTAGATCACAAATTGATATAAAAAGTAAAACATGTGATATTTGAACCTGGAAAAAACATTCCTAACTGAGATTTTTCATTGTTTTCCTCAGTCCTCCCATGTAACGGCTACAATAGTAGCTCGAATTAGTCCACAACTTCTTTCCACATCCAATAACTATTTATTATTTCCTAATCATTCTGTAATTTGACACTATGCAGCATGTGACACTTGCAGGGTCACTAAATAAACCATAAGCTAAATGATTCTACGATCCTTTGGTAGCAAAATAGACCACTATAAATAATGAATGATTTTGGTTGAAATTTGTTGGAAATTAGGCCAGAGTAGCCTTGCTCTCAGTCCAAACCCAGAGGATGACTAAACCTACACGTCAGACAAATAATCCACTTTAAAGCTATCACTGATGAGATGCAGGATTGTAATTGCAGCAGCAATGTGCGCTCAGCAAAAAGGGTGTACCAAAAGTATGTGCTTGAATTGAATACATTGAGATGTCTCTAAAGCTGCATGCATTAGTCTTACATGCATAAAAATAAAACAGTCACAAGTTAACCTGGTGGCAGAGAAAGTAGTGCATGATCCCGGAGCGCTGCCAACCAGTGCTGAGATAAGCTCACAAGTTCTGGTTGCACCAGGTTCAAGAGACTTTCTCCTCTAAATTCAAAATCACCGAAGTCCTCTTCATCCTTATCAGCTGATATGTTACAAGGTGCAGGTTTGGAGTTTGTGTTGAAACAACCAGGAGCTGAGCCATTCCCTATCATAGCTACTATATACACCTGAAACAGGTATGCAAGCCACTTAAATGAGATCAGAAATTCCAAATTTATACCTAATGGGAGTCTTTAATCTTTACTGTACACAAATTTCAGTAAAAACAATACCGAGGATGATAGTGGCAACAACAGTGATTGTGGAAGTCACGAAGGTGAACAAGAATAACCTAATACTCCAGTATCAAATGCTCTGTTACATATGAACAAATGTAATAATAATTTATCCAGCAAATTCATCTCTATCCTATTTTTCTTTCTTTAGTAAATAAAACAGGCTTATGAGATCACAATGCATTCTCTGCATGCACACACAATTTCAACTTTTGAACCAGCTCAAAGACATTTACAATATGTTGTAGGATGTATGCTATTAGAGAGCACTCCAACTTCACATCTTACATTTTTTGAAGTTGGTAATAACATGTGAATACATAAACTTGTGAAATCAGAGTGACATTAGTGGCACATAATACAGGGTCCTGAAATAATATATACATAAAATAGATGGGCCGCGCCATAGCTCAAGCAGTTAGTTGCTGGCTTCCCACCGCAGCAGCCCGGGTTCAAACCCAGGTCTGGGGAAGTGGGATTTGTGGTGGACAAAGTGGCGCTGGGGCAGGTTTCCTCCGAGTACTTTGGTTTCCCCTGCCAATCTTCATTCCACCAAATTCTCCATCATCATAATCACCCGGGGCAGGTACAATAGACCCATCAGTGGCCTCCATGCCAAGTGGACCCAGTTGGACTCCACCCCCCACTAAGCGAAAAATACATAAAATAGATAACACCTTTAAAAAATACGAAAATTTTATTAAGGTATTCTTTCTGGTAAAATATAAAACAACAAAATGACAGCTACAGAAAATCTGCATTTAGTGCTCTGATTCAAGGCAATAATGAATGAATCACTGGAGCCAGGCAAATCAAATTCGGTATGGAGACAGATCATAAACATACCTACAAATTCAGTAATGTTAATGAGTTAACAGTCACAAACGTGGTAATAGTGTGAAATTTTAACATCATATCCAACAAATTTAATGCAGATAAAATTTCTCTCTAAATAACTATTTAGGAAAGGAGAAGGAGGAGGAGACAAAGGAAAAGATTTGGCCACATATTTACAATTGCAAGAAATAACAAATTTGACATGACGATTCCAGTGTGCGACCGTCTGCAAATGAGTTCAGCACACCAGCCCATGGAATAAATGCAATATTAAGAACAAAAGATTTAAAAAAGTAGACATCAGTGCCCGAAAAATAGGCTTTATGACTTCTACTGAGATCTCCTTACTATAATCTCATTTATATTTGAGTGTAGTTTATATTATGTGAAAGATGATACCCCTTAAGTTAAAAGGTGAGCTGACACAAACTTCACAGCTCATACACCCTCCCCCTTCCACACCACAACACATCTATGGCCATAATAACGCTACCATACAAGCTATGCATCCATATCACACTGCACACCTCAGCTACAATATGGTGAATAATTTAGGCTAATATGATCCTGTAGAATCCCATTTAATTTTATTTATAACAGTACTGAAAACGACAATGACTGACCAAAGCAAGTATACCTATTAATACATATTTTAATTCAGTATCAATATTTACTTGTAACTTGTTCAAACAATTAACCTGAAGTTATTTCAGTAGTTAACAATTAACAACTAATGTAGCTACAGGTATAAGAAATGGGACAGAACATGATAAATGGCATAATATGACCATTTAATTAATTTAAACCTGTCATATTTATTGCAATTAATTAACATGCATTATTTATGAAAATTAAATGCAATAAATTATTCAGCTGTGTGACTGAAAAATAATGTTTTGACTTCCAAAACTACATATTTCTGCATGACAGTTGCCAAAGAAAGGCTTTTTTTTTTCAGTATTCTAAATGACACACTGATTAAGTTCTATTCTACAAGGTTAGTCTACTTACTTCTGCCCAAGCCTTAAGGATGGCAAGACGTTCAAGAGTAGCAAGACTCTCATTATACAGCTGTATGGTGGATGCACCCCGATGAAGCTTTGCCAGAGATGAAACAAGCAGCTGATGAACACGGCGAAGGTCATTGAGGTCATGAGCAACTCCACTCCCAATCCAAGCACTGCAGACCTGACAAGCCGCTGCTGTCACATGTGATGGAGTCTCCGGTGAGAATGCTGGCCGTAAAGCTGCACCCACCTGTTCAGCAGATAAGAGACTAAAATGTTTAATAAATACACCCCTGATCTGCATCCAATATACAGTCATTGAAAAAGAACTTCCTAGCTTCAAGATGCAACATCTTTGTTTTTTTAAGTCTTCTGACATCTGATGTCAGCACCACTTGTGGTCTGCAGATACTGAAATGGTGTTCGATTTTGTTCTAGGTGTAATAAAGCTTGACCTGGGTGATAGTTGTGACAGCAGCATAAATTCTAACTCACAGGTGCTGTAAATCACAGATTTTTTCTGCACTCACAATGCTTTTCACAACCCCACATGAAAGAATCCAGTGATGTAAGATGTGGGACTTCCTGGAGGCCAAATTATTGGTTCACGTCTTTCAATTCATTGCTTAAGAAACGTAGAATTCAGAGTACATCAAAGCTTATAACTGAAATGGAGTGGTGTCCCATCTGATTGGAAAATTACTGCAGTTTCTTTTTCACTTTCAATGTCTGCAATTTGTGGAAAAGCAAACATTTCTAACGTGTTGACATAAACACTAATGGCTCCATAGGCAAATGATGTGTTGAAGGTATTATAACAAAAAATAATGATTTTATTAAATAAACAAGAATGAAGGAAAAAAATCAATACAAGTGAGATCTAGGTGAAAGACTCAAATATTTTCAACATGATACACAATAAATAGTTCTCAATGTTTAAACAAACACAATGCATTTTGGCTCAAGTGGTAATGCTTCCAACTTGAATTCAGGCAGTGCTCAGTTTGAATCTCATCCAGGCCAGCAATTATGCTGACTAAGGTTTCCTGCTTGTTTACCTCAGTTACTCCATACAAATGTCACGAAAGCTCCTTAAAATTAGATGGTGGCCATTTTCATTCACATACCTTTGCAATTGTTGTCCATTATCACACACTCATTTGATACAACACAGTCTGAGTTACTGACCGCACTGTTAAACTATGAATAAATAAATAAACTCATACTTCAAACACTGTGCTACAAATATCAGTAGTATTAAAAAACATCTATGCATTCTTGACATGAAATCACACCAGCAACAGGTGATAGTTGGAGTGCCAAACCTTGGCACGATGATGCAACAAGGCCAGGAGAAGAGTTGGGGATGGAACACGCCATTTGGTTCAGTTTGTGAAACTGCTGATGACATACAGTGTATACGTGTGTGTGTGTGTGTGGGGGGGGCACACATGTGTGTAGGAGGGAGAGAATGTTTTGCTTACCTGGGCCTGGAACTGCTCTAACAAAAGATGACCTGGAAACTCCGGCTCTGGCACACGTGCAAACTTATCTATCACTTCATGCAGTGTCTTGAGGCCTTCTAGTCGAAGAGGATCTGAGTCACTGGTTGCTGCCATGAAAGCCATTCTCACTAAATCTGACAGATGTAAGACCAGATAGTCTCCTGGAAGAAAATTAATCAGTAAAAAAAACCAGCCTAGGATATCTGAATATTGTCCAGTTTATAAATACACTCAATGCTGGAAACATGTCATAATTACAATATTTCAAAACATGAAATCTTTCTTGAATACTAAAAAAAGTTACATGGAGAAAGAAAGTTACAAGAAAATACAATGTTGTATTTTTTTTACTGCTGATTAGCAGTTATTTCTATCTCAGAAATACATAAAATTGTATTTAAGAATCTGTCTCACAAACAAAACAAAGTTAGTTTCAAAATGACAATGTATAGCAACAGGTATCTTACAAACTCTTTCATCATGGTACTGAAGCCCAGATTAAGGGTTTGTAAGCAACTTTTGATGTAAGTGTGGCACTAGGCATAAAGATGCTCATCACCCTTGCAATATAGGCATTGTGCTTCTCTAGTAATATTTAACTGGCATGAGTAAGTCTCAAATTTTCAAGATCAAACAGGAACAAATTTCCTCATCTCAATTTGAATGTTCATTTTTCAGTTTCAAAGTTGGAGATTTTTCTGGGAACTGCTTTTGCTGTGTCCATTTGTGTCTGTCTTCAAAAATGGATTTTTATCACATTTGTCTGAATGGAAGATGAGTTCCCCCTTCCTCCTTTAAGCATTATCAAACTACAGATCATTATGAATTTGAGTGATAAATAGATGTTCTGTGCTTTTAGCATCTTCATGTCAAAATTCTTGCTATTGGGCAATATGACTAGCAAGCAAGACAGGAGTATGTTTCAAGGGCAGAAGCCTTGCAGTTCCAAAAATACCATTGTGGGATGTCGATGTTAGTTGAGACAACCATGTAACTATAACAGTAAATGTTCACTGCACTTAAAACTGGTATCACAGATGAGTGGGGAGCATGTCTGAAGAATGCCGGTGGAGACTCCTCTTGTAGCGGTTAGCCCAGTCTAGTGATGACGGTGCTGGGTGGAGGCCCTGAAAAGGGCCGTTCTGTCAGCTGAGTTGCAGCCCGGGGTTGCAAGCCAATTGGATAGTGGCAAGCGGCAGAGAGTCTGGCTGGCACTGTTACAGTGCATGCGCTGGCAGAGTTTGATGTCTACTGGCGCTGTTATGGTGCATTATGGCAGTGGTGATTCTTGAAGTCAGCGTAGCTATGTTGGCTGTGACTGGTGAAAGACTGATGCTGGTGTGTCCCGAGGCCCACAGCTTTATACTGATGCCGCTAGGATGAGCACGGGCCAGTTGGCGACAAAGCTATGATAATGAGCGCTGATTAGATAGCACTTGTGTTGGTGTCTAGGGTGCCAGGCTGCAAGCAATGTGTAAATATTGTTGCAATTGTGAGCGCTGATTGGATAGTGCTTGTGTTGGTGTCCAGAGAGCCAGGCTGCAAGCGATGTGTAAATATTGCCTGTTTTTGGTGCACTACGGAAGTTGTCTCTTATGCATTGTCAGAGGTTCTCACACCATCTAAGTTAGGAAAGAAAAGTGGTAATTCAAGTGCAAGTGTCCCTCACTGTAACAGTGACATACGTTAAGGAAAAGGGGTACTAGTGTGAATGGGAATAATGTGTAAAATAGTAGAAGGTGCTGCAGTTGTGATTTGTGCTTTAAGATAATGGTGATTAAACATGCAGAACAAACAAACAGGAACTTATGCCAATTCTGTGTAAATATTATTGTTCACAGGGATTGAAAGATACAACAGAACGTCGGTTTTGTGCAACAGCATTCCTCAATGTAAGGCTGAAATATTAATTTAGGCGCAGGATTGTGTGTACGAATGATGCAGAGCAATAGTTTTGTTTACACTGACGATCTTCACTTTCCAAAAGGTAATGACAATGAAATGCTAGTGTACTTCAATACACCACCCAGTTACAGTATCGATGATGCAAATGCAAAATCTATTGTCATAAAAATATGAGGCAATGAAAACATGTGAGTGACTGTAATATTGACAGAGCTGCCAGACAGCACATAACTACCACTATATCTGATAGTAATATGAAAAAATATGCATAAGATGCAGCTGCCTTCCTGTGCAGCACCTCCACTGTAGCTCTGCAAGTCTTGGACAGCAACTGAAAAGGGAACCTGGTGCCTGGTTCAATGCAAGGCTGATATCATGCACTGTAAAAAAATTACTGTTGCAAAATCCAAATAAGTGAAAACTAGACATATTTGGCACAATCTTGTATGGAAGGCTATGGCTCAAAATGTGTTGTTTTGCCACAGATGATGAAAATGCTGGATGACTAAATGAACTGACAGGGGACTGGTTAAAAGTTGTCTGGAACAGGATACTAAGAGCATTGTTGAGAAAACAAGGAATGCTTGTTCAGGGTGCATGTAAAGGTGTCTGATTCATGCATTGAATGTTGGCTGTATAGTAACTTGGAGGGATGGCCTCACAAATAGAGTGAATAAGCCTTTAAGGATCATTAGAAAAAAAATTTATTCTGAATGTATCATGGGAGGAGACTATGTCTTGATACCAACCAGAACACTAAGGAAGCCCACTGTACTCTATAAGAGGTTATGAATTGTAAACATGACCCACCTCGACTTTTGGTAAGCTGCATTTCTTTGGCTAATGCAAGATCAAAGTGGGCAGACTTATTTCCTTCACAGGCAACTATGATCCTTCGAACACATTCTGCAGCAAACACTCTAGTGGGCCAGCGTGGTTGTACTGCAGGATGTGTTGACTGATCATCTGCAGCATGAAACTCAACCTGGTCATCATCAGGCTCCACATCTTCTCCTTCCTCCACCCCTCCATCACCAACAACTCCTACCGTCTCATCTCCACCACTACTTGATTCTGAAACAAAAAAAATCGTCAATCTCAAGCCTGTCAACTTTTTGGTGAATATTTATTTCTGACAGGATTCCCTAAAAATATGAACTTTAAAAAGCACTAACAATTTTCTTTAGCCTTCTTGTACAAATGGCACAAAATGAAGCTTATGTGGAGTTTCTCTTGTATGTCCATCTGTCCACCTATCTGTCTATATGAATGATCTCTGAAATCGCTGATTTGAATTTGATGAACTTTTTTACGTTGGGAGTACACAATCAAATTTGTCAAGCATTAATTTTGTTACACATCAGTTGAATAAAATACTTTCTCCACATGGACTTCAAATGAAACTACCAATTTTCTTAGAAACGGATCACTGTATGTACATATCATAAAATCTGAATCTATTAAGATACTCAATTTCATTTCAAATATTTTTAAGTCAATATAAGTTCTGGGTGCAAATACTGTGAAAGGCTTTATAACAAAGTACTGAACAGGCTGGTCCAGAGTTAACACTCTGGATATGTACTCAGGAGGTGTTCAGTTTGAATCTCAGCTGGGGAACCAGATATCCTGAATGAGGTTTCTTGTGGTTTTCCTCAGTCCTTCCAGATAATGCTGAACAGTACCTTCATTATGCCATGACTGCTTCTTTCCAAATCCTTTCCACTTTATCATTCATCATTCATCCTATGACCTGACACTACATAATCTCAATACTGAAAGATTGATTAATTAACCTATAAAAATAATTACATTTGTAACAGAATATGCACACACAACATAAGATAACTGGTTATTGTCATTATTTTCATTTTTTCTGTTGTTGAAGAAGACACTGTTAAATATTTATACAGTAATTAATTTTGATATTATAAAAAGATAAAACAGTTCCATCCAGTGTGACTGCTGAAGATTTTTCTTATTTCAATTCTTCATCCACCTACATGTTTCAGTCTTTAGAGACCATCATCAGAGGGACTTCAATACAGTTTGGAAACTACAATTACAATTGATGTTCTGAGCATTAAACTATACATACAATGTTGATAATATACAAATGGACACAAAATCGAAAGTTTTTACAACTACAGCGGCTGTCTTGATATAGTATATTAAAATATTTTATTTTTGTTAGTTAAGTTAGAATTTATAACCCAAATAGGTTCGTGTCCTCTTTCTTATTACTTCTCTTGACGGAGGCCAAACGTTTGCCGCCTCTCGTTCTTGAGAAGAAGGTTCTTTGATGTCGTCCTGTAGTTGTTCATGGCATGCTGTGTTGGTTTATCTTTTTATAATATTGTTAGTGTGATGGACCACAATGAAACAAATCTAATCTTTATAGTTTAACTTTTATGAAAGAGATAATTAAAGTTCATATATATACACACATTCATTCAAGATTTAAGAAACTGTGATTTATGAAAGGTGATAAAATGTAGCAATTAAAAGGTATTGTAGCATGTATAGCCATTGCTATGCAGTGGGCAGATAAACACCCATTCCTATGGAAAGGTCGAAGTATTGTTGAACTATAACAGTGGAAACGGTGATTTCTATGTGGTCCGTGCTGAGATATTATAAGCAGGACAGTTTGAAGCAATGAATTAGTTGTTGGTTAGAGTTGTCAGCAGTTCAGTCGAGTGAAGTGTCATAACATGAAGTAGCTGATTGGTGAGTGGGGGAGTTCAGTTTTCAGTTGGAAGTCAGACTGTGTAAAGAAGACTAGGAGGTTGGTGTGCAATGGCCGCCAGCCTGGGACCCAGTTGGTTGAGTTGTCAGTTGATGAGAGTTCCGTGACAAAAGGACTTGAGTGCAGGAAGCTGAAGAATCTCCATTTTGTTAAATCTGTTGCCAGGAAACAGCCAGTGGCGACTGTAATAGACTGAGGACACTAAGTGTGTGTGTCAGTACAGCTAATCTCCACACTTGACAAATCACCACAGCACCCACTAAGCCTTTTTCCAGCCTGCTGTGTCTTCATCAGCTGTTCCCTAGCAACAGGTTCTAATACTGGAGATTATTCAGCTTCCCTCGTCCTTTCTTCACAGCCTCCAATGCAGAACTGACCAACCAACCAACTCTCAAGTTGGCAGTCATTTCACACAATGCAGACTGACTATCAATTGACAACTGAACTGGGTCATCATAATTGTCTTGCTTGTAACTACTTTACACAGACCAAGTAGAAAACACTGTTTCCAACAGTAACTCTAGTCCTGTGTTCGTATGTGTTGCTGTTGGAATGAGTTTACCGATCTGTTACCTAGAAACAGGTTGCATAACACCATTGTGTATTCACCTATTGCACAGAAATGGCTGTACACACCACAGTATTTTACTAAAACACAAGCAGACAGTAAGGAATATATACATTCCATATAAAATGTTAAATAAATCCCTACCTGTGGCAACTGTGAGGACGTCCTTACAGAGAGACAGCCATTGAGACAGGTTATCTGCAGCCATCATTTGTAACATGCTTGTCAAAGTGTCATGAATGTCTTTGATAAGCCTGCTATCTGTTTCTGTGTCTAGCATGCTGAACAGTACTCCAGGCAGACCACTCTCTGTGATTACTAAACCTGCAACAAATCTAAAGTTACATGGCAGTAATGAAATGAAACCTGAACTGAGTACCTGAGATGGGGGCTTCAGTTATGGACCCAAATACTGCCAACAGGTTCTTATTCTGATGGATGAGTGCAAAGCCAGTTTTCACTCATGCTACTCCATAGTATAAGAATATGTACATAGCATGCCTCCCCTCACACTTCATAGCTGAAGTAAAAAAAAAAGCAAAGGTATCCCTGTAACAAGCCATGGAGGCCCATAGGTTGTGAGATATTGAGGTTCCCACATTTTCTAGACAATTGGCTCATAGATGGTGGCAAGGTTGTCAGCCCTACACGCCAGCCACCCTTTACCCCCAAGAATATTCCAAGAACATTCCTCGTACTCATTTCTGCTAGAGGCTGAGTCAACCCCAGGGCCATAGTGCGGCTGGAAGGATCAGGTCAATTGAAAGAAATCCAATGACCTCAACAGGACTTGAACACGCGACCTTCCAGCTTGTAGCATAGTGCCTCAGCTAACTACGCTACTGCGTGCCCCTTAGCTGGAGAGAAATCAGTTCTTAATACTGACTGAGATGGTTAGACATGTAATATGGCAACCTCATCACACAATGATTTCTCTTTGTGCATATCAGAATTCCACTTATATTAACCCTTTCACGCGGTCATTTAAATTCCGCTGCCGTCTCTCCAGCGGTAATATATTCAGCCGTCCATTCAAATTTTGCTCGAAAATGATTTATTCATCATTGTTCTTAAATTATATGAGATAGGAACATGAAACTTTCACTAAAATGATCTTAAAAGGTGGTTTTATAACCTTACCTTATAATATGAGTGCCCTGTATCTCGGCAATGGAAGCAGGTTGTTTAGTATTTGAGCAGTGAATGGTACGCCTTGAAGGATGAAACTTTCACTAAAATGATCTTAAAAGATGGTTTTTATAACCTTACCTTATAATATGAGCGCCCGGTATCTCG